GAGGGGATGAGGGTGAGTGTCTTAGTTATCTAGTGCCGCTGTAACAGAAATACCACAAGTGGATGGCTTTAACAAAGAGAAATTTATTCTCTCACAGTTTAGTCTGATTTCAGGGTGCCAGCTCCAGTGGAAGGCTTTCTCTCTCTGTTGGCTCTGGGGGAAGGTCCTTGTCATCAATCTTCCTCTGGTCTAGGAGATTCTCAGCACAGGGACTGTGGGTCCAAAGGATGCATACGCTCCTGGCCCTTCTTGCTTGGTGGTAATGAGGTCGCTCTCCTCTCTGCTCGATTCTCTCTTTTATATCTCAAAAGAAACTGACTCAAGATACAACCTAATCCTATAGATTGAATCCTGCCTCATTAACATAACTGTCTCTAATCCTGCCTCATTAACATCATTGAGGTTAGGATTCACAACATATAGAATAATCACGTCAGATCACAAAATGGCAGACAATCACACAATACTGGGAATCAAGGCCTAGCCAAGTCGACATGAATTTTTAGGAGACACAATTCAATCCCTAGCAGTGAGAATATTGGTAGGCAATTTAGTTTTAAACAGGGAAGATGGTGCAGGTTGATTAGGTAAAGGAGTGCGGTCAGGGGAAGAAAACAGATTGAGAGGAAAGAAGACTCCAAGAGACATGGGTCTCAGAAAATAAAAGAAAACGTCTAGTGAGAGCAAGGATTAGAGAGCTGGGTTGACAGGAGGTTGTAGGCATAGTATAAATTTAGAGGAACAACAGTTTGGGGTGAGGGCAAGTTCTAAGATCTGTCCATAAGTAGATTTGATGCAAAGGGTACTGGAACTGAGGAGATCAAAGATGGTTTGTCCACATAAATAACAGAAGTCAAGCTGACGACATTATTTTGTCTTATGATGAAGTACTGAACCATATTCCTCAATGGACCTCCAATTTTCAGTGGAATTAAGCTCCAGGATAGCGGGGACTTAGTCTATTTTGTCACTGCCCTTGTCCCAGTTCTTAAAACAGGGCCTGGCTCATAGTAGGCAATCAGTAAATATCTTTTGAATGAATAAATGAAGAGCAGGCTAAGCTGATGCAGGGAAGTGGTACCTCTCACTACATTCACATAGAAATACTTCATAAAATACAACAACGTCTTAAAACAGTGCAAAGCCAAGACCAAAAGAAATGAAGGGGAATCTCCAGATACCAAAAAGAAAAAAAAATAACAAAACTAGGTAGTAGTTGGGAGTTGATGCTAACACTGCTCTTTGAAATTTGGTGCTTTATATAGATCTAAGGATGTGGGATATGGGGTTGGGGCTTGGGGGTTCTTGTGTCCACACAACAGTAGCACATACAGAGTTAGAGTTGCAGGAAGTGGGAAAACAGGAACCAAGACCCCACGTAAAACTTAGAACCTAGAAGAGCTTCCCCACCTGAGGATGGAAATCAGGGAACAAACCACCCACTAGCCAGGGAAGCAGAGAGCAGGCTTGCTGTTTCTCTGGGACTTTTGGTGGAAAGGAAAACAAAAAGTCACCAGAGAAAGACTGAAACCCAGACCTGGGCCACGAGCCAGATTTGGGTCCAAATTTTCACCGCCTGGATGGGGCAGAAACTTCACAGTGGGAAATTAGCATAAACATGGATCCAGGACCATGAGACTGTGGGGGTCCATAAGAAGTAAATGTAAAACTTGTTATACAGAAACTCTCCTAATCCAGGGCACAAGGCATAGAAACCCATGGCCGCAGTGTAATCAGTGCCACCCAAGATAAGTTCACAATAAACAAACCATAAACCTCACAAGAAAATAAACTCTCTGAGGGAAAGCCAGCAGATGTAACAAGTAGGAGTTTTAAAAACCCAAGAGTAGGAAATAGTAAAACAATCTGAATGAGAGAGACTATAAGATTTAAAAATGGTTAAAACAATAAAAGAAGGTATAGAAACCATAATAAATGTACAAGACAGTATGAAAAAAGGATAGATTTGAGAGGACACTAAACATAACTTTTTTCTAGAAGTGAAAAATACAATAATTCATACAAAAGTATGCAACATTTGGGTTTTACGGAAGATTAGATAATGCAGAAGATAATTTGAGGAATTAAGACATAATGTAGCATTGAGGGATACTAAGGCAAAAATATGGAAAAGTATTTTTTGAGACAGAGAGGGTGGAATAAGAAAGTCCAACATCTGTGTAATAAGAATACCATAGAAGAATAACAACAATAATAGTAATAAAAGTGATATTTATTGAGTACTTACTATGTCCAAGGAGCCCTGGTGGCACAGTGGTTAATAGCTCAGGCTACTAACCAAAAGGTTGGCAGTTCAAATCCACCAGCTGCTCCTTGGAAACCCTATGGGGCAGTTCTACTCTGTCCCATAGGGTCGCTATGAGTCAGAATCAACTCGATGGCAATGGGTTTGGTCTTTGGTTTACTATGTCCAGGCATTCTGTGTCTAGTATCTCACTAAATTTTCACAAACCAATGAGGTGGATGCCGTGATTACCCTTATTTTATAATAGAAGGAACTGAGTCACATGGCTCAGTTGAGACAGAGGAATTGAGACAGAGACAATATTCAAAGAGATAAGGGATGATAACTTTGTAGAATTGAAGAAAATAATTTAGATGGAAGGAATATACCAAGTACTGAGTAGGATTAAAAAAAAAAATTCTTTAAGAAATGGGATAAGTGCCCTCGAGATGAGAGGCTGCCAGAGATGAGAGCAGGCAGAGGGGCTGCAGGGTCTGAGTCACGAGCTGTTAACTGAGGGCAGAGTTGGGCCATGACAATGCAGAGGAACTAGAAGAACAAAGTCACCACTTCCTGCCCTCACAGTTCTCCCAGTGGGAAAGGAGCAGCTTCTTTCCAAACAGGCTACACTGGAGGTACTGTCCTTCAGGCTCAGATTTTATTGCCAATCATATCTGATCATTTTATGAAATGAAGTTCAGCGAGGCACATGTGAAAACCATGCTTAACTCGAGCTGCCAGTCAGCTGGCTGGATCCCGCCACCATCTGCTCTCTCTCTTTCCTGCAATAGTGTGTTGAAATAGGAGGAGTCGACACTTCAGTTTATGGTTCCTGGTTTGTGCTCAACTACTAACCTAAAGGTTGGCAGTTCAAACCCACCCAGTGGTGCTGCAGAAAAAAGGCCCAGTGATCTTCTTCCCAATAAAGATTCAGCCAAGAAAACCCTATGGAGCAGTTCTACTCTGTAAGGCGTGGTGTCGCTGTGAGTCAGAATGGATTTTCTTTTCTTTTGGTATGCTTCAATTACAAAGATAGCACCTGAGTGTCTGGTGTATGCTAGGCATATCTCAAACCAATCCCCGACAGTCTGGAGCCCCTCACACTCCCCCGTGACCCATCCTCCCTCTCTGCCCCTTAGAGCAGATCATGCTTCCTTTCCACAGAAGGCACTTCTCATTTCACCACAGCCAGCTTGCATGTGGCCTAACTGTGTAGTCAGGGACAGAGTTTGCAGAACCTGGTGACAGGAACGGTCCTAACCTGAGTCGACCTGGACTTGCTCCCCAGTCACTGGACTACACAGGACATCCTTGTCACTCCTGTGGGACTGACGGCACCAAAACATCTCCCATCACAACTTCTGCCACAGCCATGAGCCAGGCAGTGGAATCAAAGCCCTTTCACCTCTCACTGGAATCCACCTTGGCCCGTTCCACCATGGTCACTGCACCTCCTGTGGGGTACAGATAGTTCTTTGGAGCCCCAAGGACTCTTGGCTTCTTCCTCACCCTTCATTGGCTGCTAAAGATACCACACGAAACAGGCGAAAAAAGACCAGGATGCTGTCAGCTGTCAAACGCTTCATTAACCCCACCTGAGCCGGAAAGGCAGAGAAAACACCAGAAACAGTAGTCTGTCAGGGCCCTTAACGCATTTTTTGAAAACTTTCTATCCATCATTTGTTTTGTTCCTCCCCTGCACTCTGCCCATCATTTAACAGAAAAATGCATATTTTCAAGGTACGGTGCATTTTCTCTATAAAGCTGTCGTTAAGCATGCACTACTTTGTAAGCACAAGAGCCTTTGTTTGGGAACAGCGACCAATTAAACAAGTGCTTATTTCAAGAGCCCGAGACTCATGCCTGGTGAATAGGAGATTTCCCCAAAGAAAGCCGCCTAATCTTTAAGTGGCTCTGCAGAGGACATCTCCATAGAATAGCAGGGAACACTCATAAACAAGCTGCTGCTTAATAGTTAATTATCTTCACTGGCAAGTGCTGTGAAATCTAACATTTCAAACCCGACAGCCCAGACTGGTTTCGGTCCACGCTGACCTACGAGTGGCAACATACCACTCATAAGAGGAATCACGTCAGTTGTTCTCTGTACAATTCATTAAATTATCACGAGATGGAGAAAGCAGTCATCAGTTAGTCAAGGTTCTGAGGAGAAGAGTATCATCAGCTTTAATTGCTGATGGAGGGTTTGGTCAAGTATCTCTTTCTGATACCAGCATAACAATGTTTGGACATGATTGGTGTCTGATAGATTTTAAATTACATTATGGAGGCATTCATTCTTTTATATTGTCTTTACCCAAATATATGTCTTTAAATAATAGAGGAAAAAAGTATGCCCCACTGAATCCCAGGAGGAAAGAATAATCTCTACTGGTTTGCTCGTCCTTAGCAATTAAGAAACATCTCAGGAAGGCAGCACATATTTTCTGAAGGCTTCTCTTTTTTCTTATCAATGACTTCTTTTCGGAGGGGGGGGAGACACCAAATTATGATTTTAAAGGCAACGTTGAACTGTGTCAAATTAACCAGGTGCGGCTGATCAGCATTTTTGACCAACGTGATGACTGCTTTTCGCCAGTCAGTTGGTCTTCCCAAATGTCAATATAATGTTAGTTGAATTATCCTACATGTCCACATTGTCCAACTGGGCCTCTGATCACTAGACATTCACACAAAGACTAGACAAATGCTGTTGATCATATTCTAGATGACATAATCTCCTTGTGTCACTCACCAACCCAATTCCAGTTTGAAGAATTTTCAGTCCAGAAGTTTCTTCAAGTTTGTCCTTGTTGTCAACTGTTAGGAAAAAATAAGAAGTACAGGGCTCAGCTTGGAAAGTTCTCAAGACACATCTAAGCATCTTCCTCTATTGAAAAATTCCATAACATCACTGCTCACATCGCCTAAGTTAACAATAGTGCTGTGGGCAGCAAGCAGGCAGTTAGTCAGAAAACCTGGCTTAGAGGCCCAGACTTTCCACATCGGAACTGATCGACCTTGGGCAAGTCACTACTGCATACCTTGAATTTCATCTATAAAATAATGTAATAATAAGAAATCACAGAATTATTAGGAAGATCTGATGACAAATTGTATGTAGACATGCTTTGCAAACTGTAAAGTCTTATTTTAAGATGATTAATGGTAATTAATTCTATAATTATTTGGCAATGTTTCACTAATCAGCATTACGTGTGAGTAAAAGGACGCACTGGAAGGGAAAGCTGAATGTATGTATTCATTTCAGTAATGCTCTGAACTATTTCATTCCCTCTTATTCATGCCCCTACATGAAACATTCTATAATTTAGCTCCAATAAAAGCCTCAGCCTAGTGCGCTCCCGACTTAGAATGAGGCAGATTTCCAGAAGATGAATTACACTCTATATCTTACCACCACCACCACCACCACTCCCGCCAAAGAGCTTTGGAAACAATTAGCAGGTATAAATGAAAACTCAGTAATCCTCATGCTGCCGCTGAAAACCCACCTGCCTCCACGCTTCATCCAAAGGAAGCTGTGTCACGATGCAATTGACCTGGCTTATGATTCTGTAGAAATATTCTTTTGGATAAAGGCCCTGTCACTTTGGACATGAAAAACCAGAAAAAATAGTGCATTGCAATTGTGATTAATGTAGAATGAGATAGCAAGAAAATAGCAATTACTTTCACCTCTTATTGTAATACACCTACCTTAATCTCTGGTAATGAAATTATGTCTTTTAGAGTAATACAAATGAGATCCTGTTAAAGCCTGCCTTCCCTACCTTTAGGGCCTTTTCATTGTCTTATAGAAAGTTTTTCCTTTTGAACAAATGAACAGTATTTTTTACATACAGGTAATTATCCACCGCATTGAAAGAATGAGGCAGATATAAAACCCAGTTAGAGCAAAAGTACTTTCAAATACTTTAAGGTCGGTGGGGGAGGCAGTGATAGCACAAATGTAAACCTTGAATGGCAACAGAATATTTTTTTTAAAGACAGAGTATAAAGCAATCAATTTTAATGTTCTCCTTCTAACAAAGGGAGCATTTTACTGAATGGTAAGGTACTTTTTTGGGATAACAGTTAGTGAACTCTTAAATCGTCTTAGGAACACAAAGCACATAAAAATAGAATTAAAACAAAAATATTGCATTTATTGCTACAGAGACATAACAGATTTCAGGCTCAGGAATGAAAAAAAATCTACCTGACCAATAATAATGTAGAATATTCTAATTCAGGGGCCAACAAATTTTTCTTGTAAAAGGTCAAATTGTAAATATTTGACTATTGCAGGCCAAACAGTCTCTGTCACAGCTACACCAGTCTGCCCTTGTAGTGCAAAAGCACCCATAAATAATACTTGAATGATCACAGTTATGTGCTAATAAAACTTTATTTACAAAAACAGATGGTAGACTAGATTTGACCTGTAGGCTGCAGTTTGCTGACCTCTGCTCTAACCCATCCTCTTCACTGTGACCCAAAGAGCTCATGAGAAATGAGACTAATTGTGTCCATCCTTTGCCCAATCATCTTCGATGGCTCCATCTAATTGCAGGATGAAATTCAGACTCTTAAGCAGAGCTTCGAAACACTTCAACCTGTGACTCTAGCAAACATGTATAGCCTTGTCCCTGCCAAACCAGTTGCTGTTGAGTTGATCTGACTCATGGTGACCTCATGTGTATCAGAGTAGAAATGTGTTCCATAGTGTTCTCAGTGGCTGAGTTTTTGGAAGAAGATCGCTACGCCTTTCTTCTGAGGCACCTCTGGATGGATTTAAACCACCAACCTTTTGGTCAGCAGCTGAGTGCTTAACTGTTTGCACCACCCAGGGACTCCTTGCACCTGCCAAGCACCTGCAATTCAAGCTGTTTTCATCGCACCAGACATGTGGCTTATTAGTTTTAGGCATATTCTTTTCCCTGCCAGAAATGCACCCCTACCTTCTCTGCTTGGTAAAAACCTGCGGCATGCTTCCAGCCCAGCTCAAGCACCACATCTGCTAGGAAGCCTTCCCAGCACCTCCCTTCTCATAACATTCTCAGCAAAATTTGTTATATCCTGTGTGTCTTATAGTCAGTGGTGTCTTATTTAATGGTGTATAGGTATGGTGTGGGTGCTGGTCTCCTCCACCACCCAGAAAAAAAAATCCTGAATTGTAGGTCATTGTCAGCTTCTGTTGTGTGAATACTGCCACCACAGTGGCCAGTTTCCAGATGCTCATGTGAAGTCACTAAGTGGGGTTGTAAGACACAAGCAGTTGAACCAAATCATCACATGGTATTTCCACCCTGTAGATACAATAGATGTAGATAACCTCAAGAGCATAGATAATAGTAATGCAGTCAAATGATTAGGAAAGGAAAAGTTTGAGTATCTGTTACCTTTTTTCAATATAACTGAACTGTAAGTTTGTATAATTTAATTTTTAATAATTGCTACATTTAATAAGTGGCTCATAAAATTCCCAAAAACATAAGAATCAGCTCTAGCAAGCAGGTGCAAACTGGCTCCAGCATACCCCGAATAGTACTGTTTATACCCAAAGTTTAGGTCCTAGTATGTCATATTTCCTTGACTCCAAATTGTAAATTTTTCCCACATTTTTATCATGTTTGAAGTCAGGCATCTCAGTCTCTGCACTATCTGCAATTATGTGGCTGTTATTCTTACCAGCCTATCTGAACAACTACACCCGCCAATGCTTCGGGCAACTGACCTTCAAAGACCTTGAGGAAGGAATATGAGTCCTTGCTTCCACATGAATTTTTTCCATTGGTACCCTCCAAACAAGATCAACAAAGCACCAACATCAACACTTCTAGAATGAGTGTCATCTGCTTGGACAATAATTGCTTGGAAGATGATCCCGTGGGCCATAGAGCGGCACTCTTTTAAGAAATGCTGTATCATTCAACACTCTGGATGGCTTAGTGGATGTTATTGTGTTAAAAAATACAGATGTCATGTTGGAAAGTGATGCAGAGAAGTTGGACTGTGAATGTGAAAGTGTTTCAGGAACTCTTTAACCCATTTATTGTGTTACAATTTTCCTTTTCATGTATGCACAAGAGTGATTTTTGATAGATGAGCCTAAAAGAGTTCATTCAATAAATTTAAAATAATTCTAAGTGATGAGAAAGCATTATATTTTAGTTTAATTGACAGTGTTTTTACTTTTTTAGTGATACATAAAATAAAATAAAAGCCTCTTAGAATCAATGAGATATAGGATTACATTATGGTTATCTCTGAACAATCTGTCTCCAAGGTCATCATGAGCTCCTTCAGGGCAGCGTGGGGACCCAACTCCTCTTTGTTTTTCCAGGATCTATCACAATGCTTGGGTGCTTAAATAAATGCCTGCACTCTTTTTCAATAAACAAATGCAGACTCCAACAGCAGTAGCCAACATGCCTCTCTATATATACTTACAGAGTCTTTCAAAACCACCTTGACCTTTTGCTTTAGTTTAGGACCCTGGGTGGTGCAAGCAGTTTGCTCTCGGCTACTAATCTAAAGGTTGGCAATTCAAACCCACCCAGAGGCGCTGCAAAAGAAAGTCCTAATGATCTGCTTCTGTAAAGATTATAGCCAAGAAAATTCTATGGAGCAGTTCTACTCTGTAACACGTGGGCTCATGATGAATTGGAATCGACTCAACAACAACAGGTTTGGTTTCGGTTTTAATCCATTCCAAACTATTATCAATTGAGGCAAACAACTTAAGCCATGCAAATTAGGGTTATTTGTAAACCACTAAAGGTTTTAAAAGAGTATGAAGAACTAGTTCACCCTTCCCAGACTAATCCAAGAATAAATTGTAAGTCAAAATCCAAACAATAAAGTCAACTATAAAAACAATATATTTTTGACTGACAGCTGTTTAGTGCTTGCTACATGCCGGGTGCTCTGGGAAGCACTATTCACACCTCACCTTGTTGTTGTTGGGTGTCATCGAGTCAATTTCGACTCAATGTAGCCCCATATGACAGAGCAGAACTCCCCCATAGGGTTTCTTCACGGGAGCAGATTGCCAGGTCTTTTCTCCCACAGAGCAGCTGGTCGGTTCAAACTGCAGACCTTTCGGTTAGCAGCTGAGTACTTAATCATTGTACCACCAGGACTCCTTACTTACCTCACCTTAAACCAAAACCAAACCAGTTGCCATCGAGTTGATTCCAACTCATAGTGACCCTAAAGGACAGAGGTGAACTGTCCCATAAGGTTTCCAAGTTGGAGCTGTGGATTCAAACTGCTGAACTGTTGGTTAGCAGCCGAGCTCTTAAGTGTTGCACCATCAGGGTTCCATTTCACAGGTACAAGGGTTAGGATTTCAGCTTATCTTTCTTGGGAGGGACAAAATTCAATCTATAACACCTAGTAAAACAGACATGATCGGCAGAGCTGACATGAGCTGCAGATTTCTGACATTCGACACCACTTCACCCGCTAAGAAGGGGACTTACCCACCAACACCAAGGTCTTGAGGGCCACTAGTACCACTCCATCTAGCTGCCAATGACAGGGGTCTGAGAATTAGTGGCATCCTCCAATCCTTCCAGCCAATGACACCAGGCGCCCAAGGACCAGCTGCACTACCCTCCTACCAAGCACTCTAGCAGACAGGGGCATGCCCTCCATCTGGGCACCTAGGGGCAGCCGACAGCCCCCTGCCTTGCTCCCCAAATTGCCCCCCATAGCAACTAGAGACCTGTGCCTGCTCCAAACACCCCACGCAATCCTGCTCACCCAGGACTGTAGGTGAGAGTCTCCACACCACACACTTGGTGACCAAC